CACACCAGACCCCCAGCCCAGGGTTCCAGAGCTGGGAAGAGAAATCACCATAACTACAGGCTGTAAACACCAGCAGGGATTGTGACAGACATACAGAGGCTGCTGGAGATGCAGCTGTTCCTTTTAAAGGGCCAGCGCACAAATATACTTGGACTTGATGCCTCTGAGCTCCAGCACTTGAGTGGCTCTTGGGGACCCAGACACATATGGGGAGGAACTGGACTGTCTGGAATTGGGGCAGGAACTCAGGAGTGGCTTTCCACCGGACGGGTGCTCAAAAGGGTCATTGTTCCTGTGCTGGGACCTCCCCTGTCACAGGCTGACTGGGATCCATAGCTGAGACTCAGCCTGCCCACACTGTTTGCTTCACCCTGGGGATTCCCTGAGACCCCACCCTGTCCAATCTACAGCCCCACCCAAGCCATTTGCAACAGCTTTTCTATGTGAATGGCTTGTTTTGGCTCAGGCCTCAAACTTTGCTAAAATCTCTCAGACAGACTACCGCTGGTGACAGCATGCTTCAAACCCATCAATAAAAGGCCCAAGGCCCAGCACTAACACCAGTTTGCCTTACTTCACAGCTGGGCCTCACCTCTTGCACAGCAGTATTCCCCCACTGTAGTCGCAGCTGGTCCTCACAGCCAATTGGCCTGGAGGTCAATTCCTCCCACTGACACCAACAGCAATCAAGGCTCAACTATAAGACCGTGTACACAGCCCACACGGGCATGCCTAAACAAGGAAGCAGCCAAAATGCAGAGACAAACATGTCACAAATGAAAGAAAAGGAAGCAAGTAAACTACTGGATACAGAGTTCAAAACTATGGTTAGAAGGTTACTCAAGGATCTTGATGAGACTTTCAAGGATCTTAGTGAGAATGTCAAAGACATGAAAAAGTTCCAGTCAGAAATTAAGCTTACACTAACTTAAATAGCAATTTACAAGGATTCAGCAGTAGAGTAGAGGATTCTGAGAAATCAATGTTTTTTAATATGAGGAAGCAAAAAACACCCAATCAGAAGAGCAAATAGAATCCAAAAATATGAAGAAGGTGTAAGGAGCCTCTGGGACAACTTCAGGCATACCAACATTCGCATTATGGGGTCGCCAGAAGAGAGAGAGCAAGATATTGAAAACCTATCTGAAATAATGACAGAAAACTTTACCTACTTGGTGAAAGAAATAGACTTACAAGTCCAGGAAGCACAGAAGAGTCCCAAACAAAAGGAGCCCAAAGAGGCCCACACCAAGACATATCATAATTAAAATGCCAAGGGTTACAAAGCGAGAATCTTAAAAGCAGCAAGAAAAAAGAAGTTAGTTACCTACCAGGGAGCGCCCATACAACTATCAGCTGATTTCTCAACAGAAACTTCACAGGCCAAAAGGGAGTGGCAAGAAATATTCAAAGTGATGAATAGTAAGGACCTTCAACCAAGATTACTCTATCCAGCCAAGCTCTCATTTAGAATTGAGGGTCAGATAAAGAGCTTCACAAACAAGAAAAAGCTAAAGGAGTTCATCACCACCAAACTAGTATTATATGAAATGTTGAAGGATATTATTGAAGAAGGAGGAGGAGGAGAGATTAAAAATATGAACAATAAAATGGCAACAAATACATATCTATCAACAATGGAATCTAAAAATCAAAATAAGCAAACAAGAAATCTAATTAAATAAACTGGTGAATAAAACAATCAGAGGCATGGAAGTATGGAACAGACTGACGAATCTCAGAGGGAAGAGGGGAGGAGAGGATGGGAAGAGATTAACCAAAGATCTATGGACACAGTAGGGTGGTGAAGCCCTGGGGTGGGGCAGGAACTGGGTGGAGAGGGCAATGGGGGTGGGGAAGGACATCTGTAATACTCTCAACAATAAAGATTTTTTAAAAAGAAAATTAGGTATGGCTCAGCAACTGAGTAAATGTTACTGAAGGAATCCCAACTATTGGTTGCTTTTTTGTCGTGTAAGGGGCACAGTAGAATATGAAACTGTTGCTTTTGAAAAGTGTAATTTTAAGATGTCTCAATGAAGCGCTGATGGAACTGTAGCCTGGTTTTACTAATTTATAAGCAAAACCACTAAACCATGCATATCATGTAGTTATTTAATATTTCTTCCCCCAGAAGCCTCTGCAGACATATGGTTTGATGATGTTAGATGTTTATTTTAAAAAACTAGAGGGGGTAGTTGCTCCTGTACTTTTTAGAAAAAATGGTCTTCAAATGTCTGTCTTAGTTGGTAAATAGAATGTAACACATATAATGACAATGCTGCTTTGGAACATGGCAGAGGCAATCTACATAGTTTCTGACCATAATTTTATTGCTGTGGACCAGTGATTGTTATATGCCTCCACTCCACCCTCCCTTCTGAATGGGAGTTCTGTTATTCTTTTTCTATCCCTTGCTCATATATTGGGTGTTTGGGGAAGACAAATAACTTATTTTCTTCGTTGTAGGTTTCCACCTTGAGAGGAATTGTATCCAAGGATTCTCATCCACGTGTGGACCTGTTATGTGCACATAACAAGATCCTGGACTTTGAGCCAGTGAAATGATATAATGAGAAGAGGCTTTCGGGAGAACAATGTAAATTGTGGTCAAAGTGGCAAAAAAAAGCAAGTGATAGTGAAAAAAACCTGGCTTCATTTTTCAGTATTAATTAGGAGTCCAGTATTAGAAATGCAAGAGTAAAAGGTATGTGGGCTGGGGGTGGGGTGTGGGGATGATTTCAGAGGCCCAAAAAGAAATTAAAAAAAGAAGAAGGTTGATTTCACATTGCCCAGGAGAGTGTATACTCTGCTTTTATAGCCTCACAATATTCATGATAGAAGACTAGAGGCCCAGTACACAAATTTGTGCATGGGTGCGGTCCGGCCAGCCTACCCCGATTAGGGTGGGGGTGGGGCCAATTGGGCGGGGTCAGCTGGGGGGAGGGGCCTCAGGCGGTTGGCCGGTTGGCTGGCCAGCTCCATCCCCTGGTTGAACTCCCGGTCGAGGGGACAATTTGCATATTAGCCTTTTATTATATAGGATTAGAGACCACAAATGGCATTTGCCCATAAGCATATCAGTAGTGAAATGAGGAAGGTGGGAAAAGGTTTACTATTTGAGACTTGGTTTCTGTTCTACCACTTACCTTAGGCAAGCTATTTTACACATTTTTTGTTTTGTATATTATTTTAAAAGTATGTTGTACCGGTCAAGGGCATGTACCTGGGTTGCGGGCACATCCCCAGTGGGAGATGTGCAGGAGGTGGCTGATTGATGTTTCTCTCTCATTGATGTTTCTAACTCTCTATCTCTCTCCCTT